ATATATATATATATATATATATATATATACACACACACACACACACACACAACCAGATCACTTTCTGCTGAACTCCACATGAATTTACGTAGACAATCTACCTTCTCAGCAAGAATCAAGTATTATATAGAATTTGAAATTCAATTTTCAGGTTGCACAGTATAAACGTAATTCCAAATATATCCAAATTGTTGAATTTTGTTGCTGTTTGTTCTACAGTACCTTAGAATTATAAACCTCCCAACACTAAATTACCCTTATGAGGTGAATTTTGCTTGATAACATAGAAGAAACTCCAGAGATGCCTGGGGACGATAATTAGGTGGATATCTAATTTAGGTATCCAAGTAGAACAATTCATATATTGTTACATGCTGTAAGATAGCAACTTTATTCTGACTGACTCTGACTCAGTTACAACTTCCTTACCGTGTGCTACTTCATAGATTTATAACAATACGCTGTTCCTAAAGGAATTAATGAGGTGTACACACAGAAGTCTTATCCTCATGTCCTGGTAACCCCCCTTTTTATGCCACGTCCTCATGAAGTTGCCTTTATTTTATTACCTGCCATCTGACACATGAATTAGCCTAAAGTCATCTTCAAGTATTCCAGTTTTACAGTAGTGTTTTCCCTTTTCTCCCAGCAGAGTTTTTGCCACGATACAATATGACAGGCTTTACCGATGGTTGTTGACATCATTAGACTGCTTCAGGTATGCCTCCTTCTCTCCCATCACTGGGACCGTCCTCCCTTTTTCTTTCAGTTGAACAAGAGAGGACAATTGGCTTCCATGGAGGCACAAGTCTGTGCAATAACTCACTGGCACTTTCCAAAGCGCATATCAAATCTTATGCAGGTTCCTTATCAACTGAGGTTTAATGCTGTTTTGAAAAAGCACTAGTCCTGTGTTGCACAGAAAGTCCACTTAAACTGAGAAGAAAAAAACCTGTTTCTATCAACTGTGTATTTGTAAAGGAATTTAGAGCTGACCTTGGGGACGGCATGAGAGACTGTTATAGGAAGAATCTGGAGAAGAGATTACATGGCCCTGAGGTAGAGGGAAGCATAAAAAAGAAACTCAAAATAATCCTGCCTTAATTTTGTTTAGTAGAAGATGGGACAGAAACTTGGACAGGCTTTCAAGGTTCTGTTATTCTATCCTATTACAGTAAAGAGTATTCCTGGAATCCCTGCTCTGCCTGTTACTTGACCTGGGCTACCTCAAAGGGTGGGTGCACTGTTAATAGTTCTTTCACCATTAAGTGCATTACAGATTTTCTGCCTATTGCCATAAGAGATTTTGTGTGGCATCAGTGTAGCTTTTTCCAATAAAATAAGTATTTTAATTTTCCCGTTCAATGTTGAGAAACTAAACTTTATTCCATTGCAAATTCTTCCTGTCATCTCAGCTGAAACAGGAAGGAGAAGGAGGTCTATGGGACATAGAGGGCATGGAGGGCAGAGAACAATGAAAGATTGGATGGATCTTCACTGAAACTGAAATCAAGCTGTTCCTTGAGGGGGAACTGGGTTGTTTGTCACTCCTCCTAGAAAGCACAAATTCACGGAACAGCAGATGAGGGTATCTTTGAAGGCAAACACTGACGTAGCTCTAAGCTGCCTAGATATGCCAGTTGTCACATGCAGAGAATCATTACTGGCAAGTTTTTCTAAAGGCAACAAAGCTGGTTAGTGCTCCTTTTGATAGAAAAAGGTAGGAGCACAAATATTGTTCTGGAGTTGCGCTAGTTTTCTCTCTCTCCCCATCCATTTGCAGGTGAATGGAAGAAGATACAATAAATGAATTAACTGACTTAATTGGAATAAAGCTTTCTGGAACCATGATGTGAACTGGAACCATCTTGGTAAAAGATCCACTGCCACCAAGATAGTGATGAAAACTTGCATTTCAGGGAAATCAGTACTAAAACCCAAACACAACATACCTCATATCCCTGCAGGAGAAGACAAGGTTGTAACAGTCTGGCTTAGCAGTCTGATTGAGCACCCATCAACAGACATGTTCCATCTAAGCCCAGACATATGGATCCTGTGACTGCTGTGTCCACCTGATTTCATGATGAGTGAGTTTAATAGTCTAGAATTGTTTTTGGTTCTCATCATCAGTGCAAAAGTGCATAAGGCACTCATTCCAAAAAATGCCTCTAGTGTAGGAAAGCATTTTTTAATTCCAAGAAACAGTCTTCATTAACAACAGCACAGTTCCATTTGGCAAGTAGAAACAATTTAGAATAAAAGGTGCAAAAGTAAAAGATCCCCTTGTTCATAAGCAGTAGCTTGAAGAAGAACAGTGCCAAGAGCTGAGTTCATACATCAGTTTGAACAATGAAAGGATGGTTGGGGTCCAGATGATACAAGAGAGGCTAGGAAGAGAAGAGTAATCCACTTACATGAACTTCCATTCTTTAAGATGCATTAAAACTCTGTGATGTGGAGCAAAATAAAGGATAAAATCAGGGAATTTGTTTGTTTATTTATTAACTCTGCCATCTGTTGATTGCTTATGTCTAGAGCTCCTCCCATTTCTTTCTCAAATGCCTCACAAGTTCTCACAGGTGTCCTGAACAGGAACATCAGGAGACCTCCCTCCCTGTCCCCTCCACTTGTGCCTGTGACCTGTCAGCCAGCTAGTTTGGACACAGCTTTGCCACTCCTTTAGAACAGCATTAGACCCTTACTCATGAAGGAACACTACTGTGGATGTTTTCTATCCAACAGAAATTGTATAAAACACATATAACTGCTTTAAACTAATCAAGAGACCACGATTTAGAACTGTACCTTGTTTATCATCAGTAACTGTATCCTGAATCAGTGCAGCTTTACCAGGTTTCTCATCAAGTAAAGTCTGTTTATAGCCGAAAAGGTACCCATTTGTGAAAGTTAAAAAAAAAAAGGAAAAGAAGGAAGACACAAGTTTAAGTTGAAATCAGGTCATTCAAAAAACTACAGGCTGAAAGAAGCCAATATCTGGGGGGAGATGTGGAAGAGAATGCCTCTAAGGATAAATTAAAATGCCTCAATTATTTGTATAATTTTGTTTTGAACTTAAACCAGTTTTTCTAAGATAAGCTGGTAGTTTGATCTGTACAGCAAAAGAATCACACAATTGTGTTACATGCAGTATAATCTTACGCAAGTTTGTTCAGAAGTATAGTACAAACTTACTAATATGTTTGTTCAGGATTGCAGCCTAGCACGATTCTGTTAACATTATTTTTATCACAACTTGCGGTTTGCCAGTGGTGCTGCATTACAATGGCAAATTAACGCTTGACAGACACGTGAGCACAACTTGGATGTTTTATGAACACTGTTCAGATAAGCTAGTTTATACAATCCCAGCAAAACACCAAACCACAATATTTTATATAGTTATGGTTCAGCAACGCTTTACTGGGGAATACTCTCATGAAGCTAATTCTTTTTCTTTGATTGTACAGATAGAGAAGCATAATTTCATTGTGGTGGTAAAAGGTACCCCCCCCATACACATGTGAGCGGCATTCACTAACAACTGTACAAGATGCCTGCCCACACATGTGAACTGCTTAAAGTGCCCTTGCAAGAAAACATTCACAGCAAGCTGAATTGGCCCTGAGTGGCAACAGGGGGAGGAATCAGTCAGGAACCAGTGGCCCAGTAAACCAAATTGTTTATATGCACTGACCATATCTCAGAGATAGTATAGCTAGGATGCTGATCTAGTAGGAAGGGATAAATAATGAGAAGGCCATCCAGATGAGTTTATCTAAAACATTCCAACATTATGCTGCAATTTACATTGTGTCTGCCTTTTTCTTTGTCTTGCCTTCGCAATGGGGTAGGCCAAGGGTACATAAGTTGTGGTTCTGCTTTTGCTCAGGGCTGCTCAGCAAGCTGCCAATGCTTTGCTGACAGCCGGTGTACACTGTAGTTGTTTGCATGCTTAATAAATTTATGTTGTATCTTCAACCTTTGTTTAAATGAGCCAGGTTCTGGCTACAACATTATTAACGACACAAAAGGCATGCAAGTAAATTGTTACACACTGATCAAAGCAATAATTCTAAAAAATAAATGGTCACCAACTGGTTCAACAGAAGCTGCCTCAAACAGAATCAGTGGCTCTGAGTTATTTGGATCTTCGCATACAGTTTCAAGCTGATTATATTAAAAATATAAGAGAGAAAGAGAGAGTGATGGGGAGAATGAATATTAATCTCTGGTGAGAAAAGTACAGGAAGGTTTCTTTCTACTTCTAAAAATTCAGGAATGAATTAAATAATATTTTGACTATTTCTAACAATGAACCCAGAACTCAAACAAAGTATGCAAAGACTTCAAAATTTACACTTGCTGTTTTTAATTAAAGAAGGAAAACATTAGGTATGAGCTGGCCAGAGGTGATCCTTAAGAATGCACAGCTGACTCCATATCTGGATACAAGGCTTCATTCTCTTGTCAAGGATTCAGTATTTCATAAAATAGAATTCTCCCATAATTCCTCCCACTTTGGTAACCTCCATAATACCTTCTTTTTTGGCTAACTATGCTGGACCCAAACACAATAAACTACACCCTGTTGTGGCATCGAGCAGCTGCACCATGATTACAGTGTTCACCTTATCAGCATTAAACCTCAGGTAATTGAATCTAGTCTTCTTTCTCTGGTTTATGGTCTTCCATCTGAGGGGTACATTGCTTAAACAACTCACACTGCTCTCTGGAAGGGTTTAAACTGCTGCTGTCCAACCAATCCTTCACAACCCATGCAAACAGTTAAGTTTTGGTGGTTAAACAAAAAAGTTGCTAGAGAAAACGTTGCTTTATTATTGGCCACCAACCCACTTAGATAAATGCACTAAAGCAACAGAGAGAGAGGAAAATAACCTACTAAAGACAATTATGAAGTGAAGAGTGTTTTAGGCATGAGTTGTTCATACCTCAGTCCTACTGAAATCCCTTGTCTGTTGATTTACTGACAATGATTCTGAATAAGAATTCAGTACATGATCACTTTTAGGCTTAAGGGAAGCTGGAAAGGAAAAAAGATGGTTAAGCACCTCAGTCTTTATAATAATGATTTTCTAGACTTATTTTCTTATTGATTTCTACTTTAGTACATTGTATAACCTAATGACAACAATTGGCCACTATTCTACTTCATAGTACAAGAGTGGAGTTTTTTATTTTGTGATCATCTTTTGAACCACGGTTCTCATATATTTAAAAATACTTTAAAAACTGAATAAGTTAGTCACGTAAGCGGCATCATTTAGTTGATCTCGATATACCAATACAAGAGAATATATGCAGCTACGGGTTCAACTATGGAGTCCTTGGTTCTCTCTGGGCCTGGTTGTTTGATTGCAGACGTTTCATCACCTGACTAGGTAACATTATCACTGCTAGTAAATAAGGAGTTTGCTCCCTATTTATATACAGTAGCTTGCCCTGCCA